TTTGCAATAGGTTCATTCGAATTTGGTGCTCACATTTTGAAAAGTATGACTTTTTATGTAATACCCCGAGCCATGAGATAAATTGGGAAAACTTAAAATATACTTGATTGGTAGAAGTCAGTGGTGCAAACATACTTAAATTAGCATAACTGTTTTAAGATAATATAAGATGAAGATATTTGCTCGAATGGATCACAAACTCAGAATATTTTGAAAAACTAATAAGAGCAAATTGTAGCCACCAACTATAAAGGCCGATATTTAGAAATTAACATAAACAACATAATCTAGTTGCTCATTATGGAGTACTATAAATAATTTTAACTATTTTACCAACGCAACTAAACAAGTTAGAAAGCCAATACAAACTCGAATTACTAATATATTTTAAAGTTCTCAGCAGTTCTGCGGTAATACTTTCAATTGGTGTTATACGTGAATTAATATAGCAGCCTGGAAAAACATAACCTGCAATCCATCACTCGTGTAGATTTTGATCATATATTGGTTTATCCGTTGGTAAGGAAACCTCATTAATTAGTTCTTGCCTTTTCTTTTTTCTTTTGTCACAGCCACATGCTGATTGGATATAAAATTTGGTGGTGACCAATGAAATAGAATATATAAATATATAATTAAAAAGTTGATAGTCCAAACCATTGATAAAATAACCCCAATACATATACATTGCTCAAGAACATGATATAGGCATGGAGAGAGACATATTTATTATATTTATTATTCACTCACTCACACACCATTCACTCACACACCATTTATTTTGCACGTGGATCACTCAAGTATACGCAATCTGCTTGGCTATGTCGTTGCCATTGGGCATGGGGGCCACATAGAGGATGAACCCGTCAGTCGGGAGAGGCCTCTGCCCTCCGGACGAAAATATGAGGTCGAAAAGAAAACCCGCGAGGGCACCGAGTATAAAACCCCCCACAAATCCTCCAACAAGGCCCATGGCTGTCACGAATAGCGTGGTGGCCGCCTGCCCAGTCAGCTGGGTCGCAATGGCGGCCCCAACGAGCTTCCCGAGGGCGGCACCACCGGCCTCGGCTGCGAACACGAGGGCCTCCCGCGTGGCGGTGGTGATTGGGTGGTCTGACGAGTAGACGTCCCAGATGATCTGCCCGATGTCCATCAGGTGCATGGCAGCCGACCCGTAGGCCGGTTTCTTCTTACGGTACGATATGGAAGGAGGTGGGCCGTCTGATCGAGTCAGCACGGTCAGACGGCCTGAGGCCTCAATGATGGAGGCGTATACCTCCAGCTTCTGGTCTTCCTCCAGATCCTCGAAACTGCCCGACAGCCCCAACTTGGTCTGATGGCTGCATTCGTGCGCGCGTGCGTGTGTGTGTATCATCGTGCATTTTTATTTTTGTTTATATATTTTGAATAAATAAAGTAAGAAGCGAATATAAAAAAAAAAACTCAATTCATACTCATAATATAATTCAACTTTAACTCAACTCCGCTATCCTCAATATTATCAATATAATTAAATAATATCAACTTTACACGTCACATCCACTTTAATTTACTATTCATCCACTAACGCAATTCTAATTGACTATCACTTCAAATCATCTATCTTACTTTTATATCAAATCAATTTTAATTATTTTATTTTAAATATTATTTTAATATAAAATCAAAATTCCACTAACAACTAATCATACCACTTTTTTTTTTCAAAATTAAATCTGGTTAAAAAAAAAAATCTCATTTGAAGCGAAAATATTTGTATACAAACATTCCATCCTTGCTTTGATTAGTTAAGTATTTAATAGCGAGTGTAAAACTACTAGCAAATTGGCAATACGCATAACTTAAATCACATAACAGGACATTTCAACCTACCGGCCGGTTTACTTTTTCTTTGTTTCTTTATCAGTTTCTTATTAGTGTTCA